GCATACCGAACTTGCTAATGAAGCCCGGGAAATTCAAATCCCGGGCTTCATTAGCAAGTTCGGTATGCATACATTACCCCGCTAGTTCGAACTAGCGGGGTAATGTATGCATACCGAACTTGCTAATGAAGCCCGGGAAATTCAAATCCCGGGCTTCATTAGCAAGTTCGGTATGCATACATTACCCCGCTAGTTCGAACTAGCGGGGTAGTGTAGACATACCCTAACTAATTCTCGTTTTGATGATAGTTTTCTCACTGGCTTGGAAGAAACAGGATCCCATTACCTCAGTTTATTTGTAAAATAGTGATAATACCTACTTATTTCAAAGAAACACCACATTTACGAGGATTAGTTTGTTTGCAGTATAATTTGAATATGTAAGTATTATACACATAGTATTTTTATTAATATTTTAAGGAACATTACCTGACTAAAATCCTATTTAAAATTAGTTGTCTTACCTAAAGCAATCAATGTGCAAAAAATAAGCATTAAAATAAGCACATATAATTGGATGAAATCTCCTTAATTGTATAGGAGTGCCTCGATCCACATATTTGTAATAAACATAATTCTGCTCTTTTTTATATCATTCAGACCATCGATTGCAAGTATGCCTTCAGAATTGCAGATGTTCCTATAACTATGTTATTTTCCTGAGGACTGGTTCATTTTCACCTTTAACACACATGGTATTGCAGCCAGGTAGGAAGCACAGATTTCTGAATACTCACCATGATAAAGAATAAAATTCCATGCAGGTTAGGCCGGAAGGAGCATTTATGAAAAAAGTAGAGTAAAATCAATATACCACCCAGGAAACAAAACACTTCACGAGTGAATAGAAGCCTTTATATTTTTATATGTCTGAACTGAACAGCACCTGAGTCTCTAGGGTTACATGTAAATTGGTTCAAGACATTTTCATAATGTACTAGGGGGCTGTGCCCCCTGCTTGCAATGCTTGCCAACCCCCCTCTCTCTGGCCACTTTTCCTTCACTGAGAGAGCCTGTTGATGCTGATGACGTCATTCTGTCGCCTGGCAGGAAAAATGTGTTTATATATACACACAGAGAGAAAAGAGAAGGAGAAACATTTCCCAATAAGTACAGGACAGTCTCACTACAACTACATTCTATGGAAAACTGAAGGATGGTTTAACACAAATTAAAGGGGTGACTTCAATCTAGCTAAACTGAGCTCTTCTGATCAAAGTCTATCACTTAACAACCTCGCTTGTACATTCTCTTCATGTGCTCTGGGTCCTACCATGATTATTAGCAGTCAATTATTTAAAGTATCTCTGACACACCTGGTGATAAAGTTGCCCCATTTCCCTAGCATTTCTCTTTTCGTTGAAGCTCTACAATAATAACTTCAGACTGACACCAAAGTAAGTTTGAATCACTTATCTTTATTGCATGTCACATAGTGTTTATGTGTATAGTAGCGGTCTGTAGGAACTATCATTGATAAGAGAATGGATTATTTTGAACTTGGCCCCTTCTAGAAAAATGCCTCATTTACTGCTCCTTTGGATGGATGAGAGATTTTGATTTCATAAGTTCACCTTTCCTGGACTTCTGCAAAAGAAAGAAATTGTCAAACAAGCTAAGTATGTCTAATTCAGTTAGACATAAGAGATTTCATTAGTCACATATCCTAGGTACATCATAGCACCAAGTGCTGTTTTCAAAGACACAGACTTGTAGCTGTATAGTTTCTCTGTAATTTTTTTATTTTGCTTTCCTCCATAACCTGAATATGCCAATGACTGAAATTTTACATATATATCCTCCCTAATGTAGGAAGCACAGTAGTATTGTCACTTGCTTACTCTGTGCACTGAATTAAACTTTAATAGTACTTCAAAATGTATGAATGAGTTGCTCCTTATTTAAAAACAGAATATCCTTTAATTCACCTTCTGCCTTACACTAAGTCTCAAGTTCTCATGTTCCCATCACAGAGAAATGCACAGAATCAGATCTTTACAGATTTAGCAAAAAACTAAGTGCTTATACTCTCTTATGTCAAAGATATTAAATGTAATTCACTGAAACACACTACGGGCTGGTGGACACTACACAGTGAGGTTGACATAAGGCATCTTATGACAAACTAATTATGACAGTGTCTACACTACAGCCTTCCTCCCACCAGTCTAAAGTGCCCTACTACACTGACGTAATTCCACTTTCCATGATAGGCCTAAGGCTTATGTCACTATGGTTAGGGATGTAGGCGACTAGTCAAGTAGTTAACTACCCGATAAACACAGGCTCATAGAGTAGTCAAGTGAGTACTTGACTAGTTTCTTCCCCCCACTTTCTGCTGCCTCTGTTTCAGAGGCAGCAAGGGGGAGGGAAGGGTGAAGCAGGAGCCAGTGCTGGGGGTAGCTTGCTTAAAAGTCGATCCCCTAGCACCATCTCCGCAGTCCTGGCTCACGCCATCCCAGGGAGCTAACCCCTCTGTGGCTTTGCACTTCAAATGTAGTAAGAGCTCTGTGGACTTTTATTACATTTAAAGTGCCAAGGCGCAGTGGTAGTACCCCCCATATCGACTAATTGAGTAGTCGATGGAAATTCCATTGACTACTCGATTAGATAATTAACTGATACAAAAAAAGTGATATAATAACCTAGGCCTTTTCCTAGTCTACCTTATTATTTTAATGGAAAATCTCACTAGATATAAAAGGCCACACCCGTAGTTCAGATGCTGAGTTCCTTTTAAATATTTTAGTGAATCATGGGTTTGAAGCGGGGAACATTGGGTGTAATTCTGTGGTCTGTGTTATGTCAGACTACATAATCATAATCGTCTTCTGTTGTACAGGGCATCCGCGCTATAAGACATTGCAGGATACATCTGTTCCACACTACAGACTTTGATGCTTGTAGGAACTGATGTGTTATAAGTCCTCCCATTTCCCGCTCTTAAGTCATGCAAGAAAACCCCCTAATTTGCACAAAGGGAAGTCAGTCGCAGGAAAAAAATTGCCTGCTTTAAGTTGTTTCACTGTAAATCCATGTTTTTTGGAATGCATCTTGGACTTATAGTGAGGACAGCCTGTATTAAAACTCTGTGAATGCACAACATGGAAGAAAGACTATATGGAAGAATGATAAATCAAATTCTTTTCTAGTAGTCTTAAAAATTTAGAAGATGCTTTATGTGACTTTTTCCATTTTCATTTTAAAAATAAGACAACAACTAACTAAAATCCTAGAAAATCATCTGTGGATGCATAATTTAACTATTCTGTGTTTACAAGAAAAAAGTCCAAGGTACTATTCTAATACCTTCAAAAAGATGAGTACCAAAACCCATCCACTTGATAAAGAAAACACCTATTTTGCAAGCAATCAGATGGCTGATAAAGGCAGAAAGTCTTTACTACAGGGGTGGAGAACCTTTTCTGGGTCGCAGGCTGCTGACCCACAGAAAAATCAGGCAGGGTCCACACAAGCGAGAAGCAAAACAAAACAAAAAACTCTCAAACCCTCACTGAGGCGGCCCTTGACCGAGGAGGAAAAAGGGACTCCCCACATTCCCCCGACGCACTAGAGCCTGGAGTGGCCCAGGCTAGTAGATTTTGTATGCTCCAGCCCCACAATGGGGCAGCAGGGGCACTGGACCACCGTGCAGCTTCCAAATGCTGAGGGGAAGCCCTGAGTCTTGGGGGAGGGGGGCCAGATCCAGGTAAGCTGAGGGCCCCATTTGGCCCCCAGACTTTAGGTTCCTCACCCCTATTTTACTACTATAGCAGCACATATTTTCTGGATTCTTCACATATACCCAATAAAGACAGAATCCTTAAAGTTGACTGTAAAGTGAGTGATCTAATAGCAAAGAAAGTTCCAACTGTATTTCTCTGGTCTCTCAACCAACCTCGGAGTTTGGCACAATATACAAGAGAAAAAATACTGAAAATCTGCCCCTCTACTTTTCCTGACCAAAAAATCCCCAAAATCCTGAGGCTGCAATTTTATTCCAAAGAAAGCTAAGCTTTCTATATTTTGAGGGAGACTGTTACAATCCTGTTGGATAATATCAGAGCTACAGTGACAGTTTTGCACAATAGGACTCTTAAGTCTATATGAATACTGATTACAAGGAAAGAATTACAAGTTGAGAGATTTATCTGGATCAAATACTGCGCTTAGTGGTTTACTATATTACTATAATCCCATCTTTTTATCAGTATCTGGTTTCTTCAGCTCTTCAAGAAAGAGACTGTCTGTTAAAAACTGAGCACATTTTGAATGCTACCACAAGACAAATAATAATTACAAAATGAAGCAATCCAATTAATTGATATGCCATTGTTATAATTATCCCTTTCACTTGCTGTGTTAAGTAGCAAATTTTACACAGTAAACACATAATAAAGCTCTTAATGCAAAGGTGGGGAACTCTTTTGGGTTGGGGACCACTGGCCCACAGAAAAATCAGCCAGGGGCCACACACAACTGAGAAGCAACTACCCCCCCCTCACACACACAAACACTCACAGATGTGGCCCCTGACTGAGGAGGAGAAAAGCTTCAGAGGTAGCAGGATCTGTAACTGGAAAAACTTAAAAAACAACAAATAGTCTTGCAGCACCTTAAAGAGGAACAAAACATATAGATGGTATCATGAGCTTTCGTGGGTACAACTGACTACTTCAGATGAATGGAGTTATTAAAAGTAACTGGAGTTATTAAAGGCTGGGGGCGGGGAACTGAACTCCCTTTGGGGGCCGGATCCAGGCAGCCCAGGCCTTAGGTTCCCCACCGTGTCTTAATGGGTTGATTTCTCTTGGCCTTTGTAACGGCCATACACCAAACACTTCACGGTGCATAGCTGAAGGTGTTTTTTTCCATTCGACAACTACATTATACATCCCTTTCTTGGCATCTTCCACTCAGGGTATAATCCAACAAAGGAATTTAAACTTTATTGCCGAAAGGCTTGTTCACACATGCAAATAAACATCCGAGACACGCACCAATGACGTGATTACATTTCCAAAGCGTGGGTGCCCACCTCGCGGTACTTCTCCCCCCGTGCTCCTTGACACTAGACACTCGGGCTCCCCTGCACTACAGCGGCACAGCCGGGGGGCCCTACGCTACTGTAGAGCCGAGGCTTCCTCTATGGAGGGAGGGGGTTTCTCCGCAGCGCCGGTTAGTTAGGGCTGTTCGAAAGCGGATAATTGGGGAACTAGACGGGGGAGCTCAGAGCCCGCAGCTGGCCAGCCCCACAGCCGGGACACCGTCCAGAAAAACCCCTCGTGCGGGGGGGACACAAGCTCCCTACAAGCGAGACGCAACGGGAGTCCCGCGGCAGCAG